AGCCCCCCGCCCCGCCCCGCCCCGCCCCGCCCCGCCGCACATGTGCTGCCTCGGTCCCTGCACACTTGCGCTGTCACTCAGCCCGCCGCGCTTCCAGTCCAGAGCGCGAGGTGCCCGCCGGACACCAAGCCGGACACTCGCCCTCGCGGCCCGCTGACCCGCATGGACGCCGCGCTCCTCCTGGCCCTCGGGCTGCTGGCGCAGGTAAGGGTCGGCACCCGTGGGGTCCCCGGCCGTGGGACGCTGTCCCAGGACCCCGGACGGCCTGCGAGGTGCAGGGGTGCAGCTCCCTCTCGGGGTGCTGTACTCAGGCTTGCGGAGCAGTGTCGCTGGACGAAGGAGCCAACCTGTGGTGCCAGGCTGGGGGACCGAGAGAGCAGGGCAGAGCCCCTCCTCCCTTCCAAGTTGGGGGCTGGTCTTGGTAGGGGCCGGGGGCAGCAGGAGACCCAGCGGTGTCTGGGGACTCCGGACCCCCAGTTGGCACCTGCCCCTCGCTACCTGTGGGTAATGTCCCTGCCCCTCCCCACTATCCTGGCCAACAGGGCAGCTGAGGACTTTGCCCTACAGGAACTGGAGTTCTGGGTCCCAGGACACACACACACACACACACACACACACACACACACACACACGTCCACAAGGTCGCAGTCCGGCCCGTGGCTGTGCTGCCTTTTGTCCATCTGCAGAGCCCAGCAGCTGTGTGGGCCCAGCCCACTACTGTCCACCTTGGTCTCCCCGCAGGGGCGTCGGAGCCCAGCCCAGGCCCTTCGGTTGCTGGCTGGTCAGTCTGTAGCTCTAGGCTGCTGGGGGAGGGGAAGTGCTCACCCCACTCAGTCGCCCCCGCAAGCACTGAGACAGAGCCGGCTTGGTCCCTCCCCTGCACGTACCAGGGGCTCCTGAGGCCCTTGGAGTCCCACAGACTCCACTGCCAGCTCAGGTTTCAGCCCCGGGCAGCTGAGCCAGCCCTGGCCAGCTAGACCCTCCAGCAGCTGCCCGGTTGACACCAGCCCCCCACCTTCAGACCCTCTCCTCCCGTGGGCACAGCAGCCCAGTCTGGCTGCCCAGACCTGCCCCCTGCAGCCTCTGCCTGATGCCAGCCCTCGGCCTGGACACCTGGGCCCACCCTGAGATCCCCTGGTGCAGCTGCTTGCTCTGGTGCCTGCTCCCCAGGTGGTGCAGGGGCAGCATCACACCAGCCCCCAAGACAGGGCACTTGCTCACGCATTCCTGGGGTCCCCACTGCTTTGGGCTTGGGGGTTCAGGGCGTCTGCCTTTCAGCAGGTCCTGTTCTGCTGCGGGGTGGGGGCTGGAGGCTCCTCTCCCTCCCGTTTGCTCCTGGTTCCCCTCACGGGGCAGCTGGAGACCCAGGGTCAGCTCCATCCGGGCTCTTGTCAGCACACACAGTGGTCTGTGAGCTCCTGCCCGCTCTTGCACACCAGCTTGGCCTTCAGGACTTGGTCCAGCCTGGTCACTTCTTCCGCGCCTCCAAGAGCCCAGGATGGGTGGCCGGCCCTGGCTGGGGGCTGCAGACCGACTCTGAGCAATGTGCCTGCCCTGCACCTTCTGTCAGGGCTCAAATGCTCAAGGCCAGTGTCTGGACTGTGTTCCAGAGCTGGCCATCAGTCCTCCCCTGCACCCACTGTGTCCCCAGTTGCTGGCCCTACACTTGGGACCCCACCGTTGGGGGGAGAGCTGAGGCGGGCAGACAGACCCTTCCTGCTGGTGAGGGCCCCTTGAGAGGGCAGGGTGTCCACCACACAGGCCTCTGTCCTTTAGTCCCTGTAACAGTGACTGTGCCCGGGGGGCCTGGGGCAGCCTGCAGATGGGAGGGAACAGCTGCTCCCCTGTTCCCCTCCTCCGAGGCCCTGGGCAGCTGGAGAGGGCGGGCCCCCGGGCCAGCCTGACAGCTGGTCCATTCCTGGCGTGCTGGCCGTCCAGGAACAGGGGCCCTGAATTCCCGCCTGCGGAGGGTGGGGTCAGCCTGGGAAGGCTGTGGGGCATGGGGGGGCTTCCTGTCCCCATCCCAAGAGGACCCTTCCCATGCTCCTGCCAGCATGCAGGAGCCCCTTCTTTCAGGGTCAGCCCCAGAACTACTTCCCGAGCACCAGTCAAGATCTGGCCAGGTCTGGCAGCCTCTCAGAACTGGCTCCACAGCCACAGTCCTGACCAGGGCTTGAAGGGGCCTGAGAGGCCACCGGCTCTGTCCCAGTGGCGAGAAAGGGGACATCTGCAGTCCACCTCCCTGGCGGGCAACACCTTGACCAGGCCCGATGGTCTTCCCACCTCAGTGTTAGCAAGGCCCTGGCCTCTGTCCTGTCTGTCCTGGACAGACGCAGGGAGGTGACCCAGAAGCTTGGGTCTGGAGTAGTGGCCCTGGTTGTCCTTAGGGCATCCAGCTGGTTCTGAGGGTCCTGGGTAAGGGTAGGTCAGCGTGAGCCTGGGTGTCCCTGGGCCTCTCCTCCAGGAAGAGGGCCTGGCTTGGTGTGAGGGCAGAGAGGTGGGGACCGGAGTCTGAGGGCGAGGTACTTTTCTCTGTTGCTTCTGTGCAGGGCTGTGCCAGCCGGCCGTCCCTGTGGCTTTGTCTGGGACTCCTGATGTTCTCAGGCCCCAAGACGGACCAGGCCCTGCCTCTGGGAAGGGGTGGGGCAGGGAAGAGAGAGTGAGCTGTACAAATGCTCCGGAGAGCCAGCAGCTGGCCCAGCCCCCCAACAGCACCCACCACGTCCACCACAGCCTCTGCTACATGAGGGGCGTGTGGCTGTGGGCATCCAGAGACTGGGACATGGCTCGAGTTTGGCCCTGCTGGACGTGAAGGCTGTGGCCAGGGCAATGGGTCACTGTCCTAGGCCCAAAGGCCTGGGGTGAACACTGTCATGTCTGCCCAGGGGCCTCTGGGAGAACAGCTCAGCCTTTCTGAACCTCTTTTAGAGCCATGAGATGACGTGTGTACCCCGTCTCCCAGGCCGTGAGGATGGCAGAGAGGGTGCTTGCCCGGGCCTGTGTGGAGCTGGCCAGGGAGGTGCAGGACAGTCCTGTGCCTCTCAAGGCTGTGCCCAGGATCCCTGCAGGGTGGGCAGGTTGGCGCATGGCAGGAGCCTGCCCTGACCTGGAAGCAGCTTGTGCCTGGCCGGCCCTGGCCAGCATGGAGGCAGCACGGCCATCTGTCAGACAGCAGTGTGTGGCCGGGGCCAAGAGCCTGGTGGCCTCCCCTCCCACCTGTGCACTGGGGCCATGAGGCGGGTGGAGGAGGGGCTGTGGGCGGGGCCTGGGGTCGGCAGCTCTGGGGAGCCAGGGAGGCTGCCCTGGCTTGGATGAGACTGTTCAGTGCGTCCTGCCAGCAAAGCTGACGGGGCCTGTGTGTGGCGGCCAGCACTGGACGCAGAGTGGGAAGGAAGGCTGTCCCTGGTGAGGGCCCAGGTGCCCGCAGGTCCTCCCCTCAGCCTGGGCCAGGTCCCAGCCCAGAACGCCCCCGGCTCTCCAAGGCCACTGCCCCCCATGTGCCCACCTGTCCGTGGACTTCAGTCCTAGCGGAAAACAGGTGAAGCAGAAGCCAGGGATCAGGTGGCCAGAGAAGGGCAGCCGGGGCCCTCGGCCTGTGATAGGAAGGAGGGAGGGCTATGCCCAAAGTCCCTGCTGCCAGCCCTGGATGAAGCCCCTGCAGTGGGGAGGGGCTGCCCCGTCCCCTGCCGATCCCATCTCGGGCTGACCGTCCCTGGTCAGCCTGCTCCATGCTCCCTGAGGTGCCTGGCACAAACCAGTGCCCTTGATAAACTGAGCATCGGCAGCACGGGCCTTCACTCCTGCAAGGTGGCACTGAGGCCTCAGGTCTCTGTGGTGAGGGATTTATAGGCACTAAACCTGCTGGATGCCCACACATGCCTCATCTGACAGAGCGGGCATCGCCCTCGTCACCCATGCCCACCAAGAGCCGGCAAGCCGTGTGGAGACCTGGGGCCGCCAAGGTCACCTCTGCCCCAACCCCAGCCCTTGGTGGCAGAGCCAGTCTGGAGGAGGGGACCCCACCACCCAGCTGTCCCCACTCTTCACTGGCAGGGTGCAGCCTGGGCCCCAGTCCCACCCCCTGGGGAGTAAAAGTACCTTGAGCCCCAGGAGCCCCCACTCCCAGGTACATGGGCAACTGACCCCTTGGGAAGTGAGGGGACAGGGAATCCTCTCATTGCCTCCCCACTCACCAGTCAGTGAACGCTGGCGGGGGAGGGCTCTAGGGTGCAGCCCCGCTCCAGAGGGCCCCAGGTGAGGCAGCACACAGAAGGCTCCCCTGGAGGGTGTGAAGGCCTCAAGCCTGGGTGTAGCCTGTGCCTCCTGGGCCACACAATCTGACCCTGCCCAGGCGACAGTGCCCCGGCTGCTGGCCTTGCTACCTGACAGTGGCCCCTGTGTTGCAGAGCCTGGACCTGTCCTGGGGGGACCCTGGGCGGCCCGGCATCTTGCACCCCTGGCGCCGGCTGCCTGCACCGGGCCGAGTGCGGAGAGCTTGGGTCATCCCACCTATCAGCGTGCCAGAGAACTACAAGGGGCTGCCCTACATGCTGGTGCAGGTGAGGCGGGCGGGGCGCTGTCCCCAAGGCCCTTCAGGGGAAGGAGGCTCACAGCTGGCCAAGCTGGGCCTGATGCCCAGACCCCAGCCCTCTGGTGGCTGGTGGGGTTGAGGGGTTTCCTGGCTGGGCACTGGCAGGTGCCGTGCAGACGGGGGTGCTCCTCCCACTTGTCCTCAGCCCCTGCTGCCCACAGATCAGATCGGACAAGCGGCAGCCAGGAGGGGTCATCTACAGTATCCAGGGCCCCGGTGTGGATGAGGAGCCCCTTGGTCTCTTCTCTGTGGAGAAGTTCTCAGGGCGGGTGTTCCTCAACGCAGAGCTGGACCGGGAGAAGACGGCCTCCTACAGGGTGGGCACCCCCACCCCGCCCCCCCACCCCACCTCTCTCCCACCTCTCTCCCACCTCTCTCCCATCTCTCTGAGGCCCACCTGGGGCAGGCAAGCGCATGGAGGCCCTGAGGCTGGAACCGCACCCCCTGTACCTGCAGGGTTCAGTGTTGTGCTGACCCTGGCTGTGCCTTCCTGACTCAGCCTCTTGGGGAACTGAGGTTTCCTTTTATCTGCCCTGAGTCTACCTCCAGAGTCTAGGCACTAGCTCTGGTTCCTTATGCAGAAATCCTGAGCACATTCTTTACCTGGAAGTGACACGATGCCATTCACCCAGGATAAGCAGTTTAAAATTCCACGTGCACCTGGGAATTAAAATACACCTCAGAAGAAGCCCAAACCCCAAACCTCACAGAACGAGGACAGGAGAGCAGGCTCCAAGGAAGGCCCGGCTAGCCTGCTCTCTGCCGGCACAGCTCAAGGTCTTCGCCCTGGACCTGGGAGGATCCGTCCTGGAGGAGCCCACGGACCTGGAGATCGTGGTTGTGGATCAGAACGACAACCGGCCGGCCTTCGTGCGGGAGGTGTTCGCCGGCCGCGTGCTGGAGGGTGCGGCCCCAGGTGAGCCCAGTGGAAGGTGGTGTGCAGGACTCCCCATGGAGGACTCAGGCCCAGCACCCTCACCCCAGCCCCGCTCTAGCACCCCCTCCAAGGTCTGGACTGAGCAGAGCCCCACACAAGGCGCTTTGGCCCTGCATGGGTCTCAGCACCTCCTGAACACAGGGGAGACGCTTGGTGGCAAAGCCATGGTTTCTCTTCCTCTCCCACTTGGGGTTATGTTTGTTTGACATAAAATTCACCATTTAAGCCAGGGGTAGTGGCACGTGCCTGTCATCTCAGTGCCCTGGTAGGCTGAGGCAGGAGGATCAAACATTGGAGCCCAGCCTGGGCAACTTAGAGACTTGGCAAGAACTTGTCTCAAAACAAAAAAAAGGGCTGGGGATGTAGCTCAGTGCCAAAGCCCTGGGTTCAAACCCCAATACCATAAAAAAGAAAAGTTAACCATTTAGTGAACAGCTGAGCACCATCCGCAAGGCCTTGTGGGAGATGCTGTCTCCACAGCAGAGGAGACCCCCTGGCAAGGAGCAGCAGTGTAGCCCGGACGACTCTGCCCTCCCTCCCCCTGGGTCCCCTGGCTGGGGCCACCCTGCCCCTCTGCCCCGTCCCTGCCTGCTCAGCCCCTGTGAGCCCTTTGGAAAGTCGAGAGCCTGGTGAGCGGCTGGGCCCGGGCCACTCTGCCGAGAAGGGTTGTTCTATTTCACCTCCTGTGGTGTTCAGGTTCGAAGCAACAATCTCATTTTTACTTTTGGCTTTTTTATTTCAACATAATTTCAGACTTACAGAAAAGTTGCAAAGAATTCCTGGGCATGGTTTGGGCTGTCTGTCTGTTCCTATTGGCCTTTTTCTGCATCCCGCTGACCTTGGCTGGACTCTGCCACTCAGCCGTGGAATGGCCAAACGATGAGACGTTAATGTTCACATAAGACTGACCCTCATCTCAGACTATATTCAGTTTCAATTCCCATGTTGTCATAGAGCGGCTCCTGGTCACATGTGTCATGGGTGGTGGCTTTTTTGTTTTGCTTTTTGAGACAGGGTCTCACTTTGTAGCCCAGGCTGGCCTTGAACTCACAGTGATCATTCTGCCTCAGCTTCCCGAGTGCTGAGATTACAGACGTGTGCCACCACTCCCAGCCTTGGCTCCATTTCTGAGTCCTAGTGGCTCTCCAGAAACCCCATCTTCTGGGCATGGTGGCACACTTAGGAGGCTGAGGCAGGAGGATTGTTCTGAGTTCAAGGCCAGCCTGGGCTACCTAGTGAGTTCAAGGCCAGCCTGCACTACATAGAGAGACTCTGTCTCAAAAAACAAACAAAATAAAAAATAAAAGTAGAAAACCAGAATTCTCTGTCTGTCCCTGCATGCCACCCCCTTCTCCACTGGGCCTGGTCCCTGTGTCCCAGCCAGTTCCGCAGCAACCCCAGGGGTCTGGTCACCTGCATGGGGCAGCTATCTCACCCTGGACCCTAGGCGAGGAGGCACTGGAGCGCTTTGCCCGCTCAGAGCTTGCCCAGCCCAGCCTGCTGCGTGCAGCGGGGTCTCCCTGCCGATGCTCTCCCCTGGGCCCCCAAGGTCCCGGTACAGGTGGGGTGTCAGCTCTGCTGCAGCCTCTCGGGGGCCTGGAAGAGACTGGCAGCAGGGGACAGATGTCTGTGTCCAGGCCTCAGGTGTCGCCGCTGCCCCCCAGGGCGCAATCCCCGCCACTGGGAACTGGTAGGCTCCGCTGCTTTTCCCCTCCTCACTGTCCCCACTCCCTCTGCCCCTGAGTCTGCGGCCCCAGCCGGACCTCGCCCCTTGAGCTTGTCCTGCTGAGGTGGGAGGGATATCCCTTTGCCTGGCACTGTCCTTGCTGTTTGCCGTGGGGCCAGGCAGCGCCTTCCAGGGTGCCACATGCAGCGCTCACCCCCCGCCCCCACGGCAGTGTTTCCCGGCCACTGCTCTGGCCTGGCCCTGCCTGGCCTGTGGAAGATGAGTTGGCTCCTGATGAGCCTGATGCTCTGGCCACTGAGCTGCGGGTGCAGGGCAGCATCTGACTCCATCACACTAGGTCAGACCTGGGGTGCTGTGCCCATGCGTGCCCGCCATCCCCCACGCCCCATCCTCCCCAGGCACCTATGTGACTAGAGCTGAGGCCACCGACGCCGATGACCCCGACACGGACAATGCGGCGCTGCACTACTCCATCCTGGAGCAGGGCAGCCCTGAGCTCTTCAGCATCCATGCGCGCACGGGGGAGATCCGCACGGTGCACGTGGGGCTGGACCGCGAGGTGAGGGCGGCAGGCGTGCGCCTGCCCAGGCCTCTGCAGCTGCATGGGTCCCTGTCTCACATAAAAATGTGGCTCTGCAGAGCCCAGGTGCACCCCCAGGGCCCCACAGATGTTTTCTTGGTCTGGCAATGACAGCTTAGGCCTGCTGTGCAAGGCACACGGAGCCCAGAATGCTGGCAGCAGAGGCCTCCCTCCCCTCAGCCCGGCTCCCACTCCCCTCTGCCTCTGGCCTGGCCACGTGCCTCCCCCAGGCTGGCACTGCGTTGAGGTCCCTCAGTGCCCATGTCCAGCACCACAACTGACCTCTTGCCACTTAGAGGCTGGGCAGAGCTGACGGCAGTGCGAGGTGCCAAGCTCTTGGGACGCCCCAACCTATAGTGCCCCGCCAGCCTGGGCCTTCACCCCACCTGCATCCCCTCCTCCTCCTCCTTTTATGTGGTACTAGGACTAGAACCCAGAGCCTCATACTGAGCTGTATCTCCAACCCTCTGTTTATTATTTATTTTGAAACAGGGTCTTGCTAAGTTGCCCAGGCTGGGCTCAAATTTGGGATCCTCCTCCCCCAGCCTCCCAGAGTGCTGCAATGACAGGTGTGTGCCACCAGGCACAGCTGCATCACATCTTCTGATCCCATGTCACCATGTCCCCAGGCGGTCGCCGTGTACAACCTGACACTGCAGGTGGCAGACATGTCTGGAGAAGGCCTCACTGCCACAGCCTCAGCCATCATCTCTGTGGATGACATCAATGACAATGCCCCTGAGTTCACCAGGGATGAGGTGCTGCCTCTGCCCACCCTATCCCAGGCTGCCCGTCCCTCCTGGGCCCTGGCAGTGGGCAGCAGTGTGGGGCATTCCAGGGAAGGGTACTGTGGAGGGCAGAGTGGGAGAAGAGGTCCTGCAGCAGGTGCCTGTGTGCAGCCTAAGGCCCTGGGGAGGGGCGGCTATGGCCTCTGGGTCTCACTAGGTGGGAGGGGCAGCCAGCTGTCCCTGGGCAGTGGGGGCACCAGCATGGGAGGGAGGAGGGTGGTCAGCTGGGCGCTCTGTGGAGCCCCCTCCCTTTTCCACCCGGAGTAACCAGGCCTGGCTCCCCCAGTTCTCCATGGAAGCCACAGAGGCTGTCAGTGGAGTGGATGTGGGGCGACTGGAGGTGGAGGACAGGGACCTGCCCGGCTCCCCCAACTGGGTAGCCAACTTCACCATCCTGGAGGGTGACCCCAGTGGACACTTCGGCATCCGAACAGACCCCAGAACAAACGAGGGTGTGCTGTCTGTGGTGAAGGTGAGCCACCCTCTTGGCATGACAGGTGTGATCCGTGTGAGATCATGTCACACACCAGAGGAACAAGCCCACATGCACACATGTGTACACACGCCTGTCTGTTGGTGCACAGGAGGTTTATTGCAAGAAACCAGCTCTGCTGTCCCAGGTAGGCTGAGAACCTGCTCACAGGTGTTTTCTTGAGCAACACCCCGCCCCCGTGAGGGGGCCCCCCAGCTTGGTGTCCACATAGCAGCACCTAGGGGGACACTGGCCCAGCCCACTGGGACCACAGCCTGCGTCACACGTGAGCCCGACCCCACCCTGCAGGCTCATTTTGAGTGCCGGGCGTTCATCTTATTTTTGCATCGTTCTTTGCAGTGTTGGTTTTGTCAGGGTTGAAGAGGAATACGGGGTGGAGGTTCAGGACCAACCCAGGGGGTCTGGGAGGAGCAAGGTCGCACCTGGCTGAACCCTGAGCGGCGGCCGCTTTGCCTCCTCAGCCCTTGGACTATGAGAGCCACGCACACTACGAGCTCAGGGTGTCCGTGCAGAATGAGGCCCCGCTGCAGGCCGCCCCAACCCGGATCCAGCGGGGCCAGGCCAGGCTCAGCATCCGGGTGCAGGACATCAACGAGCCGCCTGTGTTCCCCGAGAACCCACTGAGAACCAGCCTGGCTGAGGGGGCAGCGCCAGGGACCTTCGTGGCCACCTTCTCCGCGCAAGACCCAGATGTGGAGCAGCTGCAGAGGGTCAGGTGGGCCCTGGGCGCCTGGTACCCTCGTTTCGGTCAGGGATGCAGAGGTCCAGACCTTCACAGGTCTTGGCTCCACCCCTGTGTCCCCGGGTGTACATGAACAAGGCCGCCCTGTCACCCCCAGCCAGTCTCCATAGCACCCCTGTCCACCTCCAGCCCTGCTCAGGGGCAGGACCCCGAGCCACTCAGCTCCCTGCTCTGAGCCTCAGAGCCCTCGTGCGGGAGCGCGAAGGCCAGCGCAGACTGCAGGGGACACCCCCAAAGGCTCCTGGGAGCTGCGGGGGAACACAGCCCCGCGTGCACCTGTGTGGCGCGTCGCGTGTGCATGGTGTGTGCGCGAGGAGTGTGAGTCCGCGCCGCCCTCTCAGAGGCCCCGTGGCCCTAACAGCTACTCCAAGGACTACGACCCGGAGGACTGGCTGCAGGTGGACGGGGCCACTGGCAGGGTGCAGACGCAGCGGGCGCTGAGCCCCGCCTCCCCGTTCCTGAAGGACGGCTGGTACCGGGCCGTCGTCCTGGCCCTGGACGACGGTGAGGGGCGGCGGCCCTGGGGGCGGGCGGGCG